CTCTACGATAGGGAAGTGAAAGACAAAGCAAGCAACGGCGCTTCCTGTGACAGCGAGCAGGTGAGCACAGCAAAAATGCTCTCCTCTCTAACACCTGCTCCATTAGACATCTGGACGCCACTTGTCAAAGCCTCCCCCTCCAGCTGAATACACAAATATTATGCAAAGCTGCAAACTAGATGTTGACACCTTCACCACATTGACGTGTGACTGTTATCACTGATGCTGTCACACATTCACAATTTCTCCATTCAGGGTGTATAACAGAGGGTATTTATGGGTGATATGCTAGCATCTGCAAAACTAATGGGACCAAATTGGCTTTAGAGCATCCTGCATTAATGGGGGGGAATAAACCGCCTCCATCAATGCCTGTCTTGAATTCACCAGGAAATTAGTGATGCAAGGCAACATCCATGTGTGTTTCTCTTACAGTGATCTTGCTGGCTTTGTTGAGTGCATTGACCCACTCCTTCATGTCGGTCACATCATTAGCTTGGAGGAAGTACCGCCGCGAAACTGCATTTATGACTGCCAAAAAAACACCAAGGAAAACAGAGAAGAATTCCATTAAATCCACAGTGACCGCTCTGGGTGATTTTATCACGTGTGTAATAAAAATTTGCACAGTTTTGTAACGCTATACATGCACACCAGGGGTTTATCGCCGGCTGCAAAATAAAACTCACCGAAACAGAACTCAGTCTTTGGCTTTTGCTTTGGAGTGGCTTCGCTCACCTTGGAGGAGAGAAGAGAACAGGAGAGAAGAATCTTTGATGTCATTGAAGCCAGATGTCATTATCTGTGTGAGCAAACTAACATCTGGAAAACTTCACATCGTTGCTGTGTGCAACTCCAAACTGGAACTGCAGATAACCCTGACTTCTAGAGTATCTGTGAATCCTTGAGTGAATTTCCACATTACTTGTGGGTGAAATAAGCACAAATGCTCCAGATCTGACCTTTCACCTTTCACAAGAACTGCTTTTATTTAAAGTTCTTTCAAATATTCCTAATGGATAACAGATTCAGTTAAAACTGTTTTTCCCCACCATTTTGACATTCTGTTTTTTTTTTTGTTCTGAAGACAACTACTCTATTTTCAAATTTCATGATCAAAATCATGATCAGTGAACAAAATGTTAAACTAAATTAAAAACCTTTTAATTTAATAAAATGTTCACATCTGAAACATGTAACATGGAAACACCTTGAACATGGAAATAATTTTACCTACCGTACAGAGAGTGTTTTTTTCTCTCCCTGAGTCTTAAGAATACAAACAGACAACAAATATCTGTATATATTCTAGAGATGTCCCGATCCAGGTTTTTGCACTTCCGATCCGATACCGATATTGTTTTTGGACTTCCGATCCGATACCGATACTGGCCGATACCAGCCTATCCGAGCATGTATTTAAGTATTTAGCCTTAGTTGTAAGACTCATGTTGAAAAGGGTTTTAGTACTCTTGATAACATCTAGCCAGCTTAATTAGGTGAGATTGAATAAAACACAATGCTTGGTAACAACAAACGTCCCTGTTTATTAAGAGATAAACACAAACTGGACAAAATTATGAATAGCAATCTGAAATTGCACAGTGAGCAGTAAAACCGTAAACAGTTAAAGGTGCAAGTATTACTGTAAGTTTGAATAAAAATGCAAAAAACAGGGGAACACTGGCGCAAAATAGTGGAATGGATCGTTTCAATCGGCGAAACTAGAAAATACGGACCGGATTTTTTTTTAAAAAACTGGATCGGCAGTCTGGATCGGCATTTTACATGCTTTGCCGATACGCATTTTTTTGCCAATATCGGCGTCCCGATCCGATACGTGGATCGGATCGGGACAAGCCTAATATATTCTTCATAATTGGCTTTACAGTGTAACATGGTCACACATTTCCAGAAGTTTGCCTCTGATTGGCTTATAGGTCCTTTGTGAAAAATCTGATTGACTTTTTACATTTGGTTGCTATAAAGTTTTTAATTTTATTTCATTTTGTTTCAAGTTTTCTTAACATCAAAAACATTTTATTTAACCTTGTTGCTCAGCTCTAAAGCTGAAAACAAATCCTGACATCCAAAACAACAGGACTGAGATGATGATTATTTAACTTCAAATATCACAGCAGAGCAGCTTTTAGGCAACAGTATTTTTTTTTTTCTTCAGATTTCTGACTGAACAGATTAGGCTGAGATGAAGACCCTTATTTCTACATGAAACTGTGCTGCGTGGGTTGAGATGGGTCGTACCAACTCAAGGGTAAAGGAGGGTGAGGCTAAAATGAATGCAAATATTTTTACAATCTCTTGCTTGCTAGTTAAAAAGTATGAGAATTAATTTAGTAAATGTACCTGAATGCAGCAAAGAATCAAAGATTTGGGCATCAACATATGGCAGAACCAAAACAGTTTAAAATTAATCTGGCTGAAACTAAATATAGTATAGTCTGAGAACTATGCACAATCCCTTTATTTTTACTATATTTGCATTACAAATTTATTATATTATGAAAACCAGATTATTTGTGTACAATAATATAGTTGAATGTAGCCTACAGTTAGAATCCCTGTAAATAGTACCATGAGTGCATGTTTTACCTTAGAGATGTAGGTCAATTTCAGGCTCCCTACAAAGCTGGCTTCTCTGGCCAGGTTCTGCATGCAAACACAAACACACAGAGCACTCGTTAGCTCAGAGTCCAAGGTCCCACAGCCTTATATTGATCATTCTTCATTTCCTCCTGCTGCTTGTGCAAACGCGGGTCCAGTTTAGCGGCGTGTTGTGTGTATAAGCACCTGGGGATTGTCCATATACCATTGCAGAACATTCCCTGGCGTGTCGAGGATGAAGTATCGCCTCTGGAAGCGACAGCTGTTTTCCTTCTCCTCGATGTCAAGGAAGCCGCACACTCGGTTCAAGCGATCCAGATACGGCATCGCTGCCACTATCACATAATCACTGAGACACAGAGGCAGAGACAGGCAGATGTTGAGGGTAAATCATCCTTTAGTTAAAAGTTCAGACTTACAGGAAGAGAGAGAGAAAGACCCGCTTGCACTCAGCAGTTTTTCATGTGACGTGATTGAGGCTGAGCTGCAAAAGCTGAAAGCCCGAGGCTGAGCTGAGGCCCTCCACCACAGCTGAAAATTACACACTGGGCTCCAGATCTGCACATAGATCTGGAGCCCATTGTGGAAACACATATTTCCACAGGACAGGGGATAGGAAAGAGCGGTGATCAAGTAGGAGAAGTGTGGCTTGGAGAGTGCCGTTTATAGAAAATGATGCAGTGCATGTAAAATACAGAGAAGCTATCTGATTCCTAAAAATAATCTGGTCTAATAAAGCTCAGAAACTGGACTGTACTTCTCATATTTATTCTGTTTATTTATGTGATCTCACCCATTTTAGCAGTTTCATTTATTAGCCTCACTAAAACAGAAGCAATCAAAAAACTGTCTGAAGCACACAGATTCCAAACTCTTTCCATTTTTAGACATTTAAAACTATTAAAGGGTTTTATGAGAAACAAAAAGCAAAAAGTTAGCATGATGGTTAACCAGGCCTCATCCGTGGCAGATGTGCTGCAAACTATAATGCGACGGTTGTCTATAACCACTCGTGCTGCCATTATTTTTTTAAGCCCAAGTTGCCTCTGCAAGGCAAAAAAGATCAACCTTTCCATGGAACAGTTCCCACAAGAACCAGAGCAAGAGACGACATCAGGCTCACAGGTCACACCTGCTGGGTGGAACTACTGCTAGGTTATTTTTAAACCAATGCTTAAGAAAAAGGTCTCATTTTGAAACTAGGCTCTGCTTCACATGCGTCAATCGTGCAGGTTTGCGTCTGAAATAGGTCAAAGTTACAGGAGGCATTAGCAGAAGCACAGGCTGGGATGGAAACATAAAGATAGAGGACCATGGGTCACAACCATGCCAACGCTAAAGCACACATCCACACAAGTTTATGCACGCAAGCTATTCTGGGTATCAGAAAACATCTGGTATATGGGTAAAACTGTGGGTAGCCTTTTCAGCGTTGGTGAAACCAAACCAATAAATAAAACTCGGATTACATTTGAAATGCCCTGTTTTTAAAAATCCAAGGTAAACAAGACACATACAACTTTTAGGGAAAAAAGCCCACTGTATTTCGATTAAAGATGTGACACAAAACATACAGAGTAATGAAGTGAAACCTACTTATATAAACAATGACTATTCTTGGACAAGATCACCCAGTCAGACAGGCAAAAAGTTAAGAGTAAGCATTTAGAGAGCAGATCCAGTTACAGGCGAACACTGGTTGGAATAGTTGGGGTCAACTGCAGCAGAATAAGGAAAGAATAAAATGTTTAACTAAGCAGGCAGGTGTAATGGCTTAAAAATTTTATGGTTTCTAAACCACTACGTTGTTACCATCATTCATGTTACTTTACAGTCTAATTAGAAGCAACACAGTGAAAAATGCTAGAGTTACCAGCTGTTTTCATACAGTGAGAAGAAGCGCCCCATACCTCCTACACATTGTGCTGTGCACTGCCAGTTAGCTGGCTGAGAGAAGCTTAATTACTTGTCATGAAAAAATACAGGCAGCCGTGGTGTAGAAACAAGAAGAGGGCCACCTACTGTATCTTTGTTTCTGAGGAAATGGTGTTTTAAGACCGCAGCTAGTAAGCTTCAGGAAGAATGCAGGCTCCCCAAGAGGATAGCCTGACCAATTACCAGCTAATATTAGCTTATTAGTTGAGTAAGTTCAGATGTGAGGCACCTTCTACTTTGTAAATACATTTCCTTCCTCTTAGCTTAGTGATTAACCAATCAAATGGGTAGAAATCTGAATCAGCTTCTGTTTCTTTCCACATTTATTTGAAGGATCAAAAGTAAGAACTTCACCAATTTCAGTCTATAAATATATTCTTATCTCATGCATTTTTTTAAAAATATCTGCTAAAGTTACAGACATATGCTTTGATGCATAAATTAAGACCATCCTCTATTTCCTTCTTGGTCTTCCTTCTTTTGGATAAAAAAAAATAGTTCTTTCAAACAACCGGCAACCCATTTTAAACTCTTCCATGCTGCATAAGGTGCAATAGCAAAATTTCTAAAAAGTATTATTTCCAAATTTATGGTTACATTCAAAACAGCAAAGAAATGAAATTTTGACTGAGACCAAAATTATTCTTAGGATAAACAAATTTTAAAAAGCTGCAGCTTTGTTTAAGACAAAATTCTCTGGCAATTCGTACCATAGTTCAAATGAAAAAGAAAAATCTGTGATTCAAAAACAGAAAAATAATAAATATTGAAGGGCTGAAAATGTTTTGGTGGTATTTAGGAGCTAGATTAAATATCAGTAACTGTAAAGATCTTGTATGAAGAAATGGAATAATGATTAGCTCCTTCTCCTAATTCTTCCAATGCATTGCATAACAGCAAATATAAAGATTGCTTATAGAACAATTTAGCAAGTCTATCGTCGAATGCTCAGTTGGAGCACCAAAGACAACACAGTTACTGATGATAAAATAACTAATTAAAGTGCTTAGCAAAATATTCCAGTAAAAATAAGAGGCAACACATTGATCTTCCATGAATATCAGAAAAGGGTACCGGCTAAAAGAGCACAGATCGGTGCATTTCCAGCTCAGATCACCTTTCAACTTTTCCAATCAATGCTGTGCTTTGAAAATGAACTTTAACAAGTAAAAATTGAATCTTTGCAGATAGCCGCTTTCTGACAGAATGAAAGATTTTAACTATCACACCACAAGAATCTTAAAAGTGACCCACGCCTTACTTTTAGGGTATTTAGAAAAGAAGAAGGAAGAACACACAATTTGTAAAATCATTTGTAAATACCAGCTTTCTTTTAGACCAAAGATTCAGCAATCATCTGCCAGAAACTGGAATTTCAAGTGACCTGAAGGATTAATTTTCCCTACATTCATTCCATGCATCAAAAGAACACCTTAAAATTTCAAAGGGATTTTTTTTCTGTGGCCAGAAAAAAATATATATATTGCTGCAAAGCAACCTCAGAGCAAAATACAGCTGAGCTGAATTAAATAGTGGTTAACATGTAAAACATATTGAACCTAATCCAAATGGATGATATCTAGGTACATAGAGGACAGGAAAGCGTTTATTGGTATAAAGTAGCACATTAATTATCAGCTTACAGAATTACAGAAACCGTTTTGACTCAACTTCACACTGAGTTATGAGCATGTAAAACTAACACCTGACAATCCACAACATTAGTTCAGCTCAGATGACTTGCAGTGACTCACTGACAGCAACCAGTCTACAGAATGCCACACCTACTGCAGATCGCAGCACCAGCATGAGCCATGAAGTGGCCCTGCTGCGGCTGCTGTCTGCATACTTACCCGCTGTGGAGAGTCACAGTGCGCCACAGCCAGCGCCCTGAAACCAAGCGGAGAGCAGCGAGCGCGCCCCGGCGCGTGCGATCATCCTCACAGCAACTTTTAAACAACTTCTACAGAGTTGATTAAAAAAAAAAAAACTAGCGTGCACGACGCCCTCACTCTACCCTCTATTTTGTTTGAGTGATCGGGTGACGGAGGCTTGACTTTTTTTCCGGGTCGGACGTTTTGGTATTAGAATAAACCAGCCCCGGATGTGATCTATGCGTCCCCTGAGCTCCAGCCTCAACCTCCTCCTCCTCCACCTCCCCTACTGCTGCTTAACCGAGAAAAAAAAAAAAAACTCAGCCTCATAAACACTGTTATAAAAATGACAACATTTTGTAAAACAAATATACCACTAATAGAGGACTCCCATTAATCAGAACTTTTCTCTCTCCGCGCCATGATATCTCCTGGGTTATTTTTTTTCTCTCTCAGGAACTAGGTCAAACTCCCTCTGCTGAAACAAGAGCTGTAAAATAAGGGAGCACATACCTGGGCAAACAGGAGCACACAAAGATAATGCTCTTACATACAGGTGCCTAAGTTAAATAAATGAACCAGTAAAGTAATATGTTTACACAGCAAAAGGGAAATAAAAATGAAATAAGTTGTGAAGAGTTTACTAACCCACAGGGCCGGCCTAAGGCAAAGGCAAACAGTGACTGCTTAGGGCCCTAGGACAACTGGGTGTTTTGATCTTTGGGTGTTTTGAATAAAAATTGATCTCTATATCATTATAGTAACAAAAATTTACTTTGATGATAGAACAGATTTTTTTAAATTAGTATGTCTAATCATTGAAGAAATCCTTATTTATACATAAAAACAAACTAGTGGTTTCCACTATTTAAAGATGTCATAGTTTTGGTTCTGTTATGTTTTCTTTTGAGTATTCAGTTTTACTTTGCTCCATGTTTTCTAGTGGTTTAATTCTTATTTTGCTGTGTTTTCTGGTTATTTTTCAGTTTTCAGGTTTTTATTTGTTGCCCTCTGCAGCCCTCTTGTGTTTTCTCCCTAGCTCCTGTTCTGCTCTGTTCACACCTGCTCCCAATCTCCTCGTTAGTCCTCTCTTTGTTTCAGTCTCCCATAAATATACTCTCTGTTCAGTTCCTCAGTGCTGGTTTTTCGTCTAACTTCCTCCAACTCCGTCTCTCTGAGTCTTCCTCCTCGTGATAGTCCCTCACTCCCGATGTCTCCATGGTTTGTTTGACTCTGTTTTCATGTTTGACTTTTTGGATTTCTGCCTCAGTTGTTTGTTTACTCTTCATTAAATCATCAAGAAACTCGCCTCTGCCTCCCTGCCTCTGCATTTGGGTCCCCAAACCTCAGCCAAATCCTGATTTAACAGCAAACTGGTTTATTATATTAATTTTAGCTTGCAAAAGACTGTAAACAACACTCCAATGAGTTTATAGTTGGTGTGTAAATGATCGGATTATTGCACTGTTGCATTGACATAAATAAAGGGCCCCAAAATCAAATTTGCTTAGGACTTCATGGAAATCCATGGAAGCTAACGCATAAATGAGCAAGAGAGTCAAAAATTATGAGTTTAGGGTTTCTTAGGAAAGAGCAGGAAGAAACAGTCCTTTATTGACTACAATTCTATAGTGGATACTTATACCTGATTGGTTAACCCACACAATGGGCTAGATTTAGACCAATGATCTTACCTAACTGTCCAACTCTCTAGATTTGATGGGTACCACTCACAGATTAAACAAGTTCAGAATATGTGAAATCATATGGCCTTATTATGGCTATATATAAGAATTTCATTGTTAAATTAATTTATATAGCCATTTAAAAACTGCAATTAAATCACTTTACAGCTTAGCTCAAACAAAATAAATACATGTAATGATCTGATTGTAAAGCTTTATGATAGCCTCTATGATAACCTTTATGATTGTAACCCTATAATTGGATCACTTAAAAGGGAATAAATAGTGACTCTGGGAACTTCATCTGTCAAGTCAAGTTTTTGGTGTTTTACTTGCAGTTTTTAATGTTATACAGCTATTATTAGACATGTGCTTTATACAGTACCACATTAAACCAGCTTACTTTATTTCATTTGTCCCACAAACTCAGTCATGTTGAACCTTTGTGTTGGATAATTTATCCTCACTGAAGAAGGAGGAACCGTTTGTTATTTTTGACAAGTTTTGGTCCAATTTGGTATGCTCACATTTGTTTAGCCTATCTTCAAGTTATTTTTTGGTAGTTTTATTTGCTTTTAGCTCTATTATTTTGGACCCTTTTTGTTCTATTTCATACTAGACTTTCCTCCTCTCCTGTTGACTTGCCCGGTCTGACAGTTTTGATGGATGACCATGTATTGATAGGTCTAAAGTTGTTCCCTTTCTGTGCTAAATGGTAGATGAAGTAAGACTTTAAAAGTATTTTTAAACCATTTTTTCTTTATCTAACTCTGCTTTAAACTTCTCCAAAGTGCTCTCCCTGACCTGTCTGCTGTGTTTCTTGGTCTTCTTGATGCTGTTTATCCTCTAACTTTCTGTAACACACCCCTGAGGCCTTCACAGAAAATCTGAATTTAATATGAGACTCATTTGTGAGTTTTTATTACACAAAAGTGAATAGTAGTAAAACAATTTAATCAAGCAAACAGATCTAAATTAGGGTTATCGTAACAAGAGAAGTCAAATACATATATGGCTTTTCAATTTTTTTTAAAGTCCTTTCTTTTTTCATGCAGCGTTATGCACGACATGTGCTGGTCTATCACACAACCAATATATATCTAGAGTTTGTCATAATGAGGTGACAAGAGTGGAAAATCCACATCTGTGCAATTCTATTCTTTTTTTAAAGCAAAGTGTGAGACTTTATTTATTCTCCCTGTTACTTTTATATTCTTTTGTACTATCAGTCTTTGTCTTGTTTTGAGTCATCTCTAATGGAAGAACAAGCCAGTGTTTGAGTTTTTGTCTAAAGCTACCTCGGGTTTCAAAGCAAAACAATATCAATCTGCAAAGTAAAGCACCAAAGCATGGAAAAGTCTTTTCTCTAAAATCACACTCAGTGGGTTGTGATTTGCAGCTCTTTGAGGCTTTTGCCGTTATTTTTTTTTTCCACCTTCAAACAAAGGTAACCACAAATTAGCTCAACTTCCTTGTTTCAACACTTTGCTCCTTCTCTGGTTAAGATTTGAAGATTCAAATTTAAATTAGTAATACACATTTTGCAGCCTCTCTCACCTTACACAGAGCCTCTTATCAGCCAAATTGGTGAAGTTTTGTGCAGGTAGTGGTTTTGCACTCTGTCATCTTTTTTTCTAGGTAAAATGTATGTTCTTCCCTGCTAGGAGGAAGTGGTAAAGTGTCATATGACCCTCCCGAGGACAGAGACCTACCTTGCTGATTTATATTCCAGCAGTGGCTGCACAGAAGATTCAAGTGTGATTTGTACAGAAAGGAAATGTTGAAGTTTCCACAGACCCCCTTACTTCAGCCGAGAACAGAGTCTGAATGTTTTCAGGGGGTTTTATGAGGAAAGGTTTTTCTCGAAGCATACAGAGATTGAGGAGACATCGGAGGCTGAGGTGTGATTTTGTTTTTATTCAGACAAACTAGAAAGCACAATAAATGATTAGATTACCATGGTAATGACTGAGGGGGGTAATGCGAAGTGAGCCGTCTGCCTGCCGAAACCACACCGGCCACCCCCTGTCTGCACTGTGAGTAGGAGTTCTTTACTTTTCACAAATTTATTCATCATAAACACTCCCAGGTTCAGACATTACTTTGTAGAAGGATCTCATTTCATTGTGCAACTAATAAAAATAAATAATTTATGTTTAATATGAGACAATTAAAGCTGTTGAAATGCAGTTTGCAAATGAGTGAGAGAACCTTTTTATGCACCACCATGATCATAAGATGAAGTTCTTGCTCTGAAACCGCCAAACACTCTCTGCACTTCAGATTTTCTTTTGAAATTGGATTGATGACATTATCAGTAAAAACACATGAAGAGGAGGTGTGAGGTGAAAGGGAATCTAGAGGAGTTCAGAACTGACTGAAGGCATTGTGCAGCAGCAGCAGCAGGGAGGTGATCAGCACCACTGGGCTAGTAGACAATGCCCCTGAGGCGTTGCGGTGGTGGCTCCGGTGGGGACCGTTACAGTCGTCACCAAAGCAGCACTCTATCTTGGCCCCTGAGCTGCTCCCATGCGCTTTGTCACAGAAGGCCTTGTATGTGCATGACTTCATTACAGTGTCTGAAAGAAATTGAGATGCAGACGTTGAGTCTGTGAGTCAGATTCCAACCATGCAACAGCAGATGAAGACAAAAAAAAGCAATACATATACAAAAGTCTGCAAAAAGCCTCTCAGCAAACATTCAACATTGGTAAGAGATGTGTTTTATAGTTGCCCTACACATTTTCACAACAACATGCAAACGTTTTATGCACATTTATATTTAAGAAGAAGCACCTTCACATGCATGGAAACAAAAGGATTATCAACATAGAAAAAAATGACTCAGTCAGTTTTACAAGAGATCCAAAATACCACAGCTCCTTGCATTGGGCCTATAAAAGCTCCAGCTGTCAATAGATACAGTCTGACAACTCCATTAAGCTGTCTGACCTCCTTTAACTCCCGACTGTGACAGATATGATCTTGCAGTGTTTTCCTGACCCCTAGTGAAGCTTGTGCTGTAGGTCCTAAAGCCTTTGTGTGTTTACTCACTCGGCCCTGTGATGGTGGAGCAGGCATCGGCATACTGCGGACACGAAGTGGAGCCCTGCTTGTTGCAGTCCTCCTCGCTTGACGCCACGCATGTGTGACATTTCAGAGCATCACCTTCGCAGACAGGACAAGAAAGAACACCTGGCTTGAAACTAAGCATGAACGTCTACAGGCAGGTGCAACTTCTACACACGCCTGTTATCTATGGCTAAAATCAGTGTGGTCCTCAACCTACACAGATGCATATTCAAATGATGTAGAAATTAATGTCTTGCAAAAATGTTCATACAAATTTTAGTGTGTAATTGTAAAGTGAAAGGGACACAAACATGTTTTGCTTTTTTTTTTTTAAACTGATTGGAATCTGGACAAATCCATGCATTTCTATTCATTCTCAATGAGTTCAAACTTTGAGAACATCCTTTTGTTGCAATTACTGCTGCAAGTCTGTCTCTCTCTACCAGCTTTAAAAATCTTTTTTTTATTTACAGAAAATTCAACCTCAATAAGACTGAGACGCTGGGAACATATTCTTTCATTGTATTTTTAGACTCTCAAATTGATTTAGGGTTTGGCATTCTTACACATGATTATGCTTTAAACTAAATTAGTGGAGTCCTAACTTTTTACGTGCATGCTAAAATCATAAGGTCAGAAGTATTTGCAAATCCCTGCTAAAGATGGGTTATTTTTTTAAGTATAATCCCCCCCAATAATCAGGTTTATTTTAACGAAGGGGATGATTAGATCCTTTGAGACACAAAGTTTTTACAAATATTTCACTCAATTGGAATACAAAAACAAATAAATAGACAACAAAAAACATCCAGTCTGCAAATCCTTTGGGTAGAATAAAAAAATTAAACAAATAAAAGGATTTGGTCATTAACTCTTTCTTGAAAATTGTTGCTGCAGTCATTAGATAATGAAAAGTTGATATAAACAGATGCCAGTGAACAGATGCGATGCTATCTGTTATGAAATCATCCAGAAAACATAAGGGGTGGTTATTGATAAAAGTAAACTTTGTAATGCACCTGAAATTTTCCTTCAAATTTTTTGGTAATACTTTTTTTCAAATTAAAAATTAAATATCTCTATCCACATCAGCCACCTGTGACAGACACAGGTAGTATCACAATAATTGAACCTCTACCCCAGGGCTGGGTCTTTTGTGCCCACTGAAATGTTCTCTTCTAGTAATATTGTGTACTGTATTTAGGCCAGTTCTTTCTGTATCAACTCTGACCACCTTCTTTTTCTATGTTGAAGATGATTCCCATAGCTTGATGCTTTAGAATCACGTTTCCCCATTGAATGCAGATGATGTATGATGTTATTTTTTATCCGCACACATAAAAATCAACAAAACAAAAGAAAAGGGGACTCTTCAACATGTTTACTGTCTCCCAAACAAGCCTTGTGTTTAAACCTAAACAGGACTTTTTATGGCTTTCAGTAGATAATGACTTACTTTTTGCTTTTCTTTCTTTTATGATGAGCAGATCCATTAAATTTTAATTTTAAGGATTCTTTGATATTTTCTAGAGAACCTTTGACTCCGTTACGGAACAGTCTGATTTAGAACAGAAATGATTGCACTGGGGCTATCAAAGTGAAGGGAGCATAAAAAATGCATATATATATATATATATATATATATATTCATTCTTTTCCTTCCACTTCCTAATTGTTTGCAAGTTACTGTACACTTCTTATAAAATTGTAATAAAATCAGTAATTTGACACAAGTAAAGATGTATATAGACCAGTCCTCAAGATATGCGGAGTAGGCTTATGCTGCTGAACGACCGTTACAGGGCTGAACTTCAGTCTAGAGTCTTGTTTATAGATTTATTATTATTATTTTTGGTGTTTATGTATTTTGCAGATGCTTTTATCCACCGTGACTTACAAAATAGTTATTAGCGTGAAGGGTCTTGCCTAAGGACCCACACTGGCATCTCAAAAAAAAAAGTTTTAACTTCTTAAGCCTGAAATGCTTCTTTTGTTCAATTTACAGTGCACTTTGCAGAGTGTGATGTTATGTTTAGGGACAGTGACAAGGCAAGCAGTGAAAAAGCAGCCAAAGGCCAAAGAAAAGAATAAAAAGACCATCAGTAAAGCACGTTGAGCAGGTCACCTAACATGATTATACAAAAAAAAACAATAATACTAAGAGATGGTTTAGTATTTCAGTTTACTGCAATCATCTTCCAATTACTACTGTAATTGCTTAATATAAAAAATTTTCTACCTATGATTTGCATCCATTTTACTAGAACAGCACTTGGAGCTCTGCTAAGTAGCTTACTCCCAAACATATTGTGATTTTAAAGTTAAATCTTGTATTCAAAGAATCGTTCAAAATATTCCTGGATTCAGGTGGTGATCCAGATCATCTCCAAAACTAAATCATTCTTTTGACTGTCACAATATTCTCTGAAAATTTTAGCAAAATCCATCCATGACTTTTTTTAGTTATATCGAAGATAGACAAACAAACCAACACCAATGAAAACATAACCTCTTTAAAGAATATTATAAATTCAATTTGGCAACATTGTGGGAAAAATGGAACCTTACATATAATGTGGAAATGCCCTAATCTAAGGAGGTTTTGGAAAGGAATAGAAAAATGTCCATGTGTGGTTATCACATGTCACAAGGCGATATGTATAAAGTAGAATCCATTGTAATGTCTCTGTATAACAGTATATATATGTATGTCTTTGTTTAGTGTAATGTATTTATATAATATGCATTTTTTGTGTGATTTCTAAAATTAAATTTTAAATAAAAAAAACAAATAAAATAAACTTACTATTGTATGCCAGAGAAAAAAGCCCAAGCAGAGCCAAAACAGTCTTCATGGTAGCTGGATGATGGGTCACTTTCTTCTACAGTCCTAAGATGAAGCTGATGAGTGTGAGATGTTTTGAGATCGCGAGTCTGGGTGGTGAAAAAGGGGGGCGGTTTAACATTGGTAAGATGTCTGAGGGCATTAAAGTCTTATCTCTGTAATCTCCATCAATGCTGCACAGGCAGCACCCACTGCTAATAGATTTAACAGGGCGAGCTTTAACAGGCCAACACAGTTAGATCTCAGGTTTAGCCAGATAGCTTTATAACCTTAGATAAAAGTCTAAAATGCACCAGTATATTTTATTAAACATAGAAGTGTGTGAAGAGAAAAAATTTGCTTCCTACATTTTTTTTAACCATTATTTATCTATATATGATACTCTGCTGTTTTATAAAATACTGCCCAGTATTGAGCCCCAATCATTTTTTTCATTTACTTTACGTTGGAGAGACCAAGCAACCACTAAACAGGCGCATGGCTCATCACAGGAGGGCCGAACCCTCAGGACAGGACTCAGCCGTTCATCTACACCTACTTGTTGCTACTTGTGTGTGTACTTCTGTATTGGGCTTCATTATTACACAGCATTGATGTAATATCTGTTAAAAATGTTAAGACCCCAGGAGGAATAGCTATTTATTTGACTCAGTAGCTAATGGGGATTTAAATAAAGAATAAACCTGAATGCTAAAGGATGCTCATTTGAGGACAACATCATCCATATTCTTGCAAAGGAAGAAAGATGTTTTGAGCAGCGGCTTAAGGAAGCCATCTTTGTTTACGTGGAAAAACCATCTCTCAACAGAGGACCTAACCTTTCACCCACCTACAAAGCACTTTTAGGAACATTACCCAGAAGATTCCCCTCTCACCCGCCCTCATCTGACTCACACTTCAATGAGACTTATGACCCAAACCACCCTGAGGAGAGAGTTAACAACCAATCAGAACCCCTCTACAATCATCAACAACCCCCAGGTGACCTTTGTGGCCAATCCAGTGGGAGGGATCAAAGCCACCTTTTGTCCCCTTAAATTTTTTTACACCTACAGTATATTGATCTCAGTGCTCCCCACTACTAGTTAGACCTGAAGAAGCCTTTTGGATGATACGTAAAACGTCTTCAAGAAAACTTCACATCCAATTGCCTACACTGAACTTTTTCAAGCTTGACCATAACCTGGACGAATGAGAATCTTCACATATATTTATCTTTTACTCTAATCACCCTTTCAACAGCATGATGCTACCAACAACATTGCTTCCATTGCATTTTTCTTTTTGAATAATAAATTGAACAGTCCTGGAAAAGAAGTTTAAAACATTGGATGTATTTAATAAAGTTTTAATTATATCCATTTAATTTTCATTTGGTAACAATAATGTATCTAAATTGACTTTTTATCAAACTAACCCTGCTGTAAACTTCCCATTATCCCTGCACTGGCTGCTGCATTCCTTGGTCCTCATGGTGGCATTTATTCAGTAAGTGCTTTTTCTTTATATAACACTTTACCCAAGAGTTAACTTAAATTCTCTAACAAACCTCAAAGGACCTTCACAGATCAGATGGATTGATACTGACACTAAATATCACACAGGTAGACTATTAAAATACTATAACAAACTAATTTTATGTTTATTGAGGAGAATATACACATTATTCATGTTTTCACACAAACGTGAGATTGTCATTAATGAAATACAAATACACTCTTATACCATATTTAAGCAAAGTTTAAATATAGAAAAAATATTGCAAAACAAAATAGTTTAGTAACAAGATGTAACATGACAACAAAGTGACAAAAATATTCACTCTTACACATCTGCATCTGTGATGGCAAATTATGCAATCATCAAAATCTTACAAGTATTCAACCTATGAAGGTTTAAATAACCAAACAATGAGACTTTTTTTTTCTCCAATGCTCACTCTTCCTCTTTAACCAAGATTTCAGGCATTTTATCCTGCATTACAACAGAAGGAAAAGCAGGTCATGTTCAATGCTTTTCTTGACAGAAAACTTCTAATGCAGAAAAATACAAAAACTCAACACACTTAATATTGGCACAAGTTGTAAACTTAATCTAATATTGTAATAACTAACAATAAACTGAGTTAATAGTTTATGATTACAGCCATATGCTGAACACATTGTGCTTGTTGGTGCGTTAAGAAACCACCTCTGAAAAAAATTAAGTAAAATGGCAAAACGGTGAAAATGAAGTTGAAAACAACCTTGTAAGGATTTAGACAATTACACATGAGCTGCAGATGAAAGCTCTCACTAAGCCACCGGGTTATTTATCAAGGTTTTATTAGAAGCAGAATGTAATAAGAGAGATAATTAAACAGCAGCTTCTTCAAATTGTAAATTACCTTCTTCATTCCAAATACAGCTCAGTTATTTAGTATTTCTACAAAAAAAAAAAAAAAAAAAAAAAAAAGGTTAAACAGTTGGGGTTTAGTTTCCGGATTTCACTGAAGAGTTTCACAAAAATGCTCACCTTTATAGGAAGGGGTGCATTGTTGAAACTTTTTTTTCTTAAAGAGGCTTATTTTGTGCCCTTGTGCATTACAGCTGGATGAAGAAATGTGTGATAGGAGGATATTGCTTTCAACACCATGCATCACTCATAAGGACAGAGTGGAAGGCTGCAAGTTTTCCTCCCCACACAAAACTACATTTAGGCCAATCACATTTCTTTTTCAGCAACCTGTAAAGGGGACAGAATTTCTTCTTATATCAGTACATGCAAGAAGGAAATCTACAGAGTGCATGAAAAAATAGAGGTCCATAAGCTGTGGACCTTTGCAGCTCCACCAGAGCGACTGTGGTACTCTTGGCTGCTAGTCTAATCAGTGCTTTGCTTGGTCTGTCAATTTAGGCAGATAGTCCAGATGTCTGAAGGGCACTGAAGTTCCTTTACCTCGGCATGAGGAAATCGGTAAAGGATAATGTGAATTTGGTATAAATACATATTTCAATCACGACCCTTTCATATTAAATCTTTTTCAAAAGCTAATTTAATCACAAGAGCCAGACTAGCTTCAATTTATTTGATGTTATAAGAATATCATTAGAGCTGTTGTTCATTGACATGATGGAGAAAAGCACAGGAGCCCTAGACACTCTTATAAAAGGTGCAAATTGCAGACAAAGTGATCTCATGTGATTAATATGCAAAGAGCCTCAAAGGTTCCAGTGACAAGTAGTGCAAATGTTAGATCATGTGGTATATTTCAGATCTCTGTACATGGGAATCTCTGAGGAGCAGGACAGGCACAGGGCACAGTACAAAAGCTGCTTCTGGGTTGGAGGCATGCACAGCAACTGCAGGGATCCAGACAGATCACTATCAAGCAACTTCTAGTCTATTTTTCCCATTTTGGCAATCAGCTCATCACAGATCTTTGTAAGCTCCTCGATTTCTTGATTCTGCAGAAAAGCAATGAAGGAAGGTAATTAAACACCATACAGTAATCAAACAGCGGAAATGGAGCTGAATGATGTACTTCCTGGTGTACAGCCTGGGGTGATAAGAACTGTACCTTCTGTTGCAGTGCTTGTTCCAGAGACTCATTCCTCATTTGCTCTTTCCTCAGGCTGGCAGACAGTGCCATCGTCTCTGAGCTTGCCTTGGTGCGCACCTGAGCAATCTCCTCATTAGCCCTGCAGAAACAAAGGGAAATGTAAAGACATTTTATCTAAATACAAAAGTTCACCCCACAACACTTGGTGTATACTCATCATACTTGTCTAGCTTCTCCTCTGCGTGCAGCTTTAGTGTCTGATATCTCTGCTCTTCCTGCTTGACTCGGGCCAGGTAGTCCTGAGCACATTTCTTCAGGACTTCTTCATTCTGTGGGTAGAGATTGAACATAGTGTTTCTTACTAATTAATGTGTTTGCAGAAAAGGCAGGTGAAAAAAATTTGAGTAACAATTCTCTATTTTTTTCTTAAAAAAATGAGATATATTCTCCATTAAATGTTGCAGTGTTTCAACAACTTTATTTATCTACTCCTGAAAACTACCCATTATGACCAGCACTGATAACAGAGGGCAGAAGCTGCTATCAGTTATCTCAGTTATCTTAGTTATGAGGTTATCAGGTCGTGTTTAAGGAGGATAGGAAAGGATGGTTAGTCTGAGAACGAATTAAGCCAGATTAGTATTGTTATGGACTTAAAGGGCATCAAGATCTTTAAGCTTGAATAGTTAAATACTTGATTTTCGATAAGGGTATTGTAGAGGGCAGTTTATTATTTTTGAGACTGATAATGGCTTACAAATCCCTTTTCAGTAGAAGTTGGACTAATTTGTTTGTTGATTATAAAATTACTTATATATTTAAGAAAATGCCCTTTATCTTTTTCTTTGCTATATTTCTAAACTAAATTTCTATTGCCATCCACTGCTCCCAATTTGCTCTCCACCCGTATCTTAACAGTATTTACCTTTTTAAAGCCCTCAAGGGTGCTTTTCATGTTTTCATAGCGGCGAAAGATGTCCGACAGCGAGCGCTCCACAGAGTTCAGGTCTGCCAGGGCGGCGTCTTTCTCCACTGTCACTGCATGCAATGCCTTCTGAAAGTTTACGTTGTTGCGCTGTTCGTCCTCTGGAGAAATGAATAAATGGAAGGGTAATACCAAACACAGAACATTTTTCAGATTGCAATACCGATCAGTGCAACAAAACACAAAGAGTACAGGTTTACACAATGACTCACCAATCATCTGCGCAATCGTCTTCTCATATTCTGCAACTATTTTCCTGTGATGACACAGCACAACAGGAAACTTATTAATATCAATCATTCCTCAAAGTTTAAATGACATTAATTTTGTTTAAAAAATACATAATGTCCTTTTGGACGTAAATATCTTATGGGACTAATCTTTACTGGCTTTAACAGGACCAGCCTGATGGGGAAAGTTTGACTCCCATGACATCAGCAGTTCGCTTTCTTACCTCATTTCATCCACTTCTTGTTTGCACTGCTCATACTTTTTCTTCCAATCTTGAGTTTCAGCCTCCTTAGCGATGATCTGAAATGAGACAGAGGGTGGGTCTAACCTGGTGTTTTATCAGAGTAAGCTAGTGAAGCTAAGGCAAACAAGAGTGTGCACCTCCTCTCTGATAAGAGTGAGAACGGCCTGTTTTTCTGCCTCAGTGATGCAGATGGAATCCAGCACCTGACTTCCTGTTTTCTGCACCTCACTTCCTTCTGTTAAGCTCTTCAGTTTACTCGTTTCTTCATACTGTTGGGAAAAGAAGGAAATCGGGCATCACCACTCTTTCTCTTTTTTATACCACTAATCAAAGGGATGCATTAAAAAAATCTGTTGATGATTGGATTTTTTATTTTTTATTTTTTTGCTTTACTTGCATGCATTTGACATCACCTGGCGAGAAACTAATATGGGTCAGACAAAAATAACTCTTCATTGTTGATGTTACTACTACAGGAAGGCGACTTTGTAAACCACGTTCAGACTAACCAAGGAGTGGAAAAAAAAAAAAAACTAAGTCAGAGGAAGCACAAAAGCTATAAAAGTTTCTGGAGAGGAAGTGCATTTTCTATAGAAGCATGGCAACAATTTATTTAAAGACTTTAACAATTTGAGCAAAGCTGCTTTACTTTATCTTACTCCAGTGTCTGTCTTTAATGCGGCATATTGAATCAACAAATGTTGGCAGTGTTTTCAAAAACTACCATTTATGATAAAGATCCATGAACACTAGAGTGAACTCACAACGACTGATATCTAGCTAATTGCTTAAGATGGTTAAAACAGATGCTGGTTTTATTCCTAAATAATAGTGAAATCTTTGTTCACTGCAGAGCTGTGTAACAAGGAGAACTTTCTATGACACGGACTGATAATCCATCTGGTCTTAATAAAAATGATTACCGATTCATTATGAAAGATTAATAATTTCAATTTCTAATACATTTCAGTAAACAATAGCTTTTTACTTTTAAACATTGGACACAGCTGTCATCTTTTTTGGAAAAGGCAAAAAAAAAAAAAAATCACATTTTCCAGGTATTCCTTATAAAATACCCCTGAGATGAATATTTTGTCACGTATAAATATATATATATATAAATACAAAAACTCCAGCTAATTTCCTTCGTATTAGTGCCTTTGTCAAAAAGGATTTAATTTCATTCATAGATTTTGATGAGTCATTTACTAAACATTTTATTGTTATAACAATGAAACTTTGAATTCAAACAAAACATTGGAACACTAACATGGCTACCAACATATTCTTGACACTGAAGCTGTCAAGATTTAAAATAAAATTCTAAAATGAAACAAAAGTCATGAAAAAATTACAGTCTAAATAGCATTTCAACTATTTAGCATTATTTTGTAAAGTTTTAAAATCCTTCTGCAATTTCACATTCAACATATAGAACTCTAATCAGTCCCAGTTCTCTTTTCTCCTCCACCCGTCTCTTTCTCTCTCTCTCGTTTTGTCCTTGCTGGATTATTAGTCATTCCCTAATCTAATGCATGATAATCTTAATCCATTTGTCACCTGAGAAAACTAACACGGTGGCAGACACTAAGTACCTTGTGCTATCCTGCAGCTCAATAGTCTCATCATGTCAAATCATAATACATATCATAATATAACTACCTTGGCTGTGACCTACTCTATTTGAATGAAATGAAAATATTTTATTTTAATGTGGTTTACTTTTAAATACGGTAACTATCTTATTGGGTAAAGCGATTTACAGACATCCTGTAATATTAAGAAGAAAATAGGTCAAAGTGGTCTCACAGCAGAGCAGCAGTCTGACTCCTCTGGTTGGGAGGTCGATTTGCATTCCTGGACTGAAACAACAAAGAGAAAAAAAAATAATGATTTTCCATGACCAGTTTTAGGTAAATATGCTGCAGAGCTGTTTATATAAATCACCAGCAGGTGGCAGCGAATTAAATATTATCTTTGTTCCATCATTTGAAGGTGACTTTAGATTTGAACCCTTTTGGAAAATATAATACATTGCAAATAATATTTCTGTTTAGTGTTTCACTTTGAAATACCCATAAATCAACGGCATAAATATCGGTATGCAGAGACTGCAGTTGCAGTCGAAAAATTCCTCTTAAAACCCAGCTGATTTTAAGGTGACTGACCGGACCTTATTTACTATACCCCAAGACATGGTAGATTTCAACATGATAGTAAGCCGTTAAACATGAAACCAACCGCAAAGCCGACAGTGGTACTTTTAATTATTAATTAATTATTTTAATTATGTTAATAACTGTGTATAGTTCATTAGACGGTTGGTTAAAGAAAAATTCCCTTCTTTTATTTTTTTTCAACCGGAATAAAGATCTAAAAGAACGATGTATTTGGGTATTTTATTTTTAGACTACGACTTGGAATTATGGGTAATCCAGAGTGTTGTACTTCATTTGGGACCCACCCAGATAAGGTTGCTTATGGGCCTATTGTTGTGTCGTTACGCCATTGCCATAAATAGAAATAAATCTGAATGCAATTTTAAGATTAAGATGGGGAAGTGGTCGCCTAGTGGTTAGAGCGTAGAGCTTAAAATCCTGAGGTTCTGAGTTCCAGCCTAATCTGAGTTCGAACCTTGTGTTCTGAGAAGGTTGCAAGTACCCAGTTCGATCCCCAAAGCCTGCACTCTGGGTCTCTGAGCAACACCCTAACCCCACACTGCTATCTGGGCACAACACAGTGGCAGCTCACTGCTCCCCAAGGGGATGGGTTAAATGCAGAGTTAATTTCTCCATTGTGAGATCAGTAAAGTTCTATTTCTATTTTTTTTTCCTTGTTCCTACAAATTTGGGCTTCCCAGAACCATAAAATTTCTAAAGCAAATGTGCAGAAAATCAAGAGTGGTATTTTATTGCAAACATGTTGATCTACTAAAAAGTATTTCTGTTTACTACATGCACTCAGTACTGGGTTTGGGCTGCTTTTGCTTAATTACTAAAACAATTCAGAATGACACAGAGTTGATTAGCCTGTGGTTCTGCTAAGGTGTTTCGGGTGCCCAGTTTTTTTTTTTTTTTAAATCATGGTATTTAGGTACAGTAGTCTGAATTGTTGGCTCTTCTGTCTTCATCTCCTTGTCTTTTAAATATGCAAGAGATTTTCTGTGGAGTTTATTTCAGGCTAGTTAAATGGCTAATGCACAGTGATAAAATGGTAATGAAGGCTCATAATGGTCCTTTTTTTTTTTTTTTTTTGGAAGCAGGCCAGACAGTGGACCAACAAAGGCAGATGACAGGAGAACCCAAAATCTTTACATTGAACCTAACGCAGATGGTATTCTGTGCTTTTACACTTTTCAGGAATTACATAAAGAGAGGGATTGTTGTTTTTTTGTAGGACACCTTTTCCTTCCACTTAACTTTCCATTGATATGATATGATTGAGCATCCATTGTATTGGCTTACCTTCCTTCTTGAGCATGTCAAAGAATGAAAAATTTTCAAGTTTGCATTCTTCCCCATGAATGCATGGGGTTCTTATTGTCTCAAAATCACAAAACAAATTAGTTGAAATAAACACTTAAAAAATATCACTGTTTTAGTTTTTCCTTTTATACTGAACAACAACTGAAATATACTAACTTCTACATAATACTCTAATTCAGCTGCACCTTTCAGCTTTTACCATGAACTGCATTTTTTTTTAGGTAAATTTTTATAAGAATACCAAAAGATCTTTACAGTTTTCAATCCAAATGAATCAAAGTGTTATAATTCTGCACATTTGCCATGTAATGTTTATAATTAAAAACGATTTTTTTTTTTTTGTTTGTCATAGAAAAGAAAGTGGCCTTAATGTAACAGCCTGACCATTACTTTTCTTTACCCACAGCTTAGGAAACAGATCCTAATCCAAAACAATGGCTGAATAGTCTATGTGCTTTAGTGTCCTTTTTTGTTGAGTTATTATTACAGCAATATAGCCGACTTTGAGGCCATGGTTAGTATTTATTAACATAAATAGATCCTGGTTTTACTTACCGTTTTGCTCCTTTTCTGATTTTCCCCCAACAGTCCCTGCCAGTTTCTCCTCATCTGTAGCGTGGCCCCCATGGTGATCATCCTTTAACAGAAACCATAACTTTGCTGACTTTATCTGTACATACTTCCTTCGTTCTGCAATAATTTGGCTATTATTAGAGCTTACCGGTCCATTTAAATCCTTCTGTTGATTTTGATTTAGTTTGCAAGAGTTCCTGAGGACAAAAAAAAAAAGCAAACATCAGTTTTAGCACCAACACAATAGCAGCCGAATTTACATGTGAACAGTTGAATAATGAGAAGACAGGACGGAAAGCACAGAAAGCCTTACTACCACGGTAGCTTTTCTTTGTGCAGGCTGAGCTGGAATGTTCTTCCCAATTATGCATGAGAAAAAGCCAAAATAATGAAACCGCTTGCTGAATTTACACGGATCATTAGACAGGATTGTACACTTAGTATTTCCCCATAGCAAATTTAGTCCTGCCTCCTTTATGCTCCACCTTTGTTTTGAGACTTCTGAGTTTATGTCAACTACAGCGGTGGAGTTGCAAAACACGTTTACACAGTACTTACAACAGAACACAAAGGAAATGGACTTGCTCATCAGTCCTGATGCATCAGAGAGAGAAAGGGAAACAGAATGACAGTAAGAAGGGAAAAGGAAGGACAACACTCATGACGGGACAAACAAGATGAAGGCAAAGGTAATGGTGTCTAGGAACTGGAATCAGGCTCCTGAAGGTGTCTGTGGAAAGCATGTATTGAAACGTTTTAATGCTGAAAATATAAAAAGAACATTTCCTGACTTAAGGAAATGGTTGGATTTTCAAACCTGTACTGTCATTGCAACACATAGTTTACATCATGTAGATATAAAAGTCTAAGATGATTTAGAACCAAAGATGCACCGTAAGCTAATACTCCATTTATTTATTTTTTATTTTTTTTTTTTAGAACAGGTCCAATTAACTATCAGCCGTTGGAAGCACAGATATGCTATAAGCATCTACTGTGTACTTCTTAAGGAGGCATGTCGACTGTTCATTCAGGCTGCCACAGCAGGGGGACACCACTCCACAGGTGACAGAAAGAATGCCCGTCTGTTGTAAACTGGAATGGAGAAAAAAGTAATGCCATCTTTCCAAAATCGGACTAATAATGTAAGAGCCCAAAGGGAATAAGCAGAGATTGGCCTTAGTGATGCTAACAGCATAAATACCACTAATCCTACTAAACTCACTATATTTGATTAAAAAAAAGTAATAGAATCAGTTATGACACAAAAGTTGACACAAAAATTATAATAAACAAATGATTAAAAAATAACTCAACAGATATCCAAAAGTTATTATTAGTATGTAGTTTTCAATAATATTGTAGAACAAATAATATTTTTCGTTATGATGATAGGATCTTTGCAATAAGGTATTATCTGTATTTTAAGTGCAAAAATGTAGATGATCAGTCATTCTCTTTAGAGTTTGTCTTATTTATGGATACATTTACCTGTGAACTAAAAGGTTTCTCTGTAGCTTTCAAGTAATGCAGAAAGAGAAAGCTTCATAATGTTTTTTAAAAAAAAATTTGTTTTTTTGTCACTACAACGACCTTGTAATAAAAAGAAAGTTTGATCATCAATTATCCGGAAAGAAGAGAAAAAGAACTTCATAATTTTTAGTTTTTCAAAGACAAGAAGGAATTGTAAAATGAGTAACTGAACGCTCAGAAATCTGCCTTCATTCTCTGATTCACCTCTACTAGAAATCATATGTCCATGTTTTTTTATGGAGGTGAACAAGTATAGAGGAAGATTAAAGTGTTGTAGGTATAAAATACTCCACAAGAGGGCGAAGTTTAACTGTTTAAAGAGGATATTGAGGTTAAGCAATGCAATAGTAAAGGTGGATAAAATATACCAGGTTTGTGTGGAAGAAAAAAAAATCCAAAGAATACCTCCCTAAAAATAAAATTATTAAAATCAAGGTTTGAGTCACGGCTGAATGAGAGAAACAGCTGACATGCCTTAAATAGACAAGTTACAACACCACAGTGCATAAACACTAAGATACCTTGGTCATTCCACATTCACTGTGCTCAGTAGCATGCATTCAATGCAGGTCTTTACAGCCACAGACAGAAACTGAAACTATGTGTTGTACATGTATAACTGCAGTCTTTGGGGCCCAGGTCTTCTCTTTGTGTTTTACTTACTTGATGATTGAGTTACTGCTCTCACAGGCTAGTTTAGTGTTCGATAACACAGCGTCTGATGTCACGTTGCCATTCAGCAAATCAGAATCCAGACAATCATCACGACTGAGCGTTACGGCGTTCAGGTCTGTAGTCGGTGGTGCTTCGTCGTCCACCTCTGAGGGATCAGGTTTGTTCAGGGAGGAAAATACGGGAAGTGATGGTGGTCGGAGAGATGCAGCCTGGGGAAGGTGTTTGGAAGGAGGGAGGCCTTGTCCAGGAGAAGCCTTGGAGTCTGGGGTTAAATTGAGGTTTTGATCCAAACCAAAGCTGTTGGGTGTGGAGCTGGTCAAGTTGTTCAGAGAGTCAACCTGCTGGGTTGGAGCACAGGGGGCTTCCTGGCTGCAATCTTCAGTAGGAGCTATGAGCAGGGGGAAGAAAAAAACAAACAAACAGATTTATTAGTATTAGCCATAATACAGCTAACCTGTTTTGGCTTCATGTTTGGTCAGTAATTTATTGCTCAGTAAAATCTTCAGAGTATAATTTAAATAATGTAAGGTAATATTTCTTTTTAAAAAAAAAGGACCTGGTGACAAAGACTCCAAGACTCCTTTGGAGAGATGCTGGTCCAACTTCTTACCATAAGTAAGTGGTTGCAACATTATAGGTTAAAAACTGGGCCACTAAATGAAGAATCACAAAGGTTCTTTAAAAGGACATTAAAAGTGAAGCTTCTATTGTTGTTATAAGTTAGGAAAAAAAAGTCAGGCCTCAGTAGTGAAAAAGGAGACAATACTGTAAAAACTGCAAAGAAAACAGCTTAAGGTCAGAAGTTATCTGATTTTTGTCCCTTCTCACTACAAAGCTGACAAAGCAGTGTTGCCCTGCAAAACTTGTTTGTCTCTCGTGTTTCAATGATATATGAAAATATACATAAGATTTAGATAAAGATAATGTTCCATCATCAAAACTGTATACAGCTGACACAGTAATGTACTGAAGTGTACGACCAGTTAAACCAGGTTGCAACATATGTTTGGAGATGTCAAAAAACAAAATACTTGAAATGTATTTATTGTAAAACATACATGCTTGAATGTGATCTAAAGGTTTATATAATGTTTTAGGTTGCTTCCTTGTTTTATTGTTTCTGCTTGTGGCTCAGGTGCACGCAAAGAGGTCATTGTCTCATCACTCATTAATCGAAGGTCAAACAACATTGTTATCACCTTAGACTAGTCTTTTCAGTTCCCACCAGATTGATGATTTACTATCAAGGCGATATGTGTGTGTACAAGATGTCTGCTGTCTGTAGTTGGCTGGTTGGCTTAGAAAGTAAAATATTAACCAAAATAAAAAGGGCAAAATTTACTTGATACAGGATAGTTTTATTGTCCAATAAATATGTAAAACTATTTACAGGTCTATAAAAAAAACAAGCATACCTTTTTTTTTTTTTTTCAATAAGAATATGTCCTCATATAAGGTTATCATTTAACGTTTACGCTTTCAAAAGTTTACTTAAAATTCCCCTTAGCCTTGTTGGAGGACCCTATTCTAGAAATAAAATCCACTTCCTGTGTCCTCACACACCAATTTCAGGATCCAAGTAGACCAGGCTGTGTTGCTGAAACACAGGAACCCTTTCTGCTGAAAATAATCACCTTCTCACAATGGAAAGCTCAAACAATAATAGACCAACAACAGCGGCCCACGCCCTCTCTTCTTAACACACATAAAAGTGAATTCTGTGTGTTTTTATAGCCCCTTGGTCAATATCATGTCCTCCTACACTATTGTTTTGGAATTTAATGTGATACACAAACTAGTGGGTGATTTTAGAGAAAGAAAGAAAATAAGTTTTTTTTTTCCATTACTTCACTCTTTTCTGTGTTAATCCAACTATTTATGTGAAGACATTAGTATGGTGGTGATCAAGTCCAGTCACCATTTTAGCAGCTACCATCCTGAATCCCCTCTCCAAAACACCTGAATCTAATTTGTTGTTTTTTGCTTTTTTGTGTTGTTTTGCAGTTCATGTTAGGTTTTTTCTTTTCTTTTCTTCGGGTTTGGTCTGTTGTTTTTTAATTGGCATCTAAGTAAGAGCACTGTCACGTAAGACTTGACTGTCTGTTGTTTCTGTGGCTCAGTTGCACAAGGGTTGGGTTGTTGAGCGACCTCTTTGTGCTTGAAGGTCTATTGGGATGATTCTGTTTCCTTTCTGTGATTTGCTGTTTTTCTTTGATTTTCGCGTTTTTCTTTCTTTCTGGGTTTATTTTCTGCCTTTCTCTGCTCTGTTTCGTGTGCGTGCAATTTTTCCTTGTGTATGGGCTTAAATCTGTATCATCTATTGTTGGTGTTTAGTTTGGTTTATTCGCGTTTTATGGGCATTTTGCTACGTGCTTTGTTCTTTAGTTTTTATCTTCCCGTGCGTCTTTTTTTTGGTTGTTGTTAATGGTTGGTCTTGTTCTTTTTTTTGTTTCACCGTTTTTTTCAGCCTGTTGGCCTGTGGGTTCTGTTTTTTTTCCCCGGTTTCTTTTGCCTTCTTTTTCTCTTATTCTTCTGTTTTTACTGTCTTTTTTTCTCGCTCCCAGGCACACATGCTTCTGTTTTTCTTTGTTATCGGATGTTTCATTCTTGGCAACATGTCTGATTTTTGTTTGTTTGTCCATTTGTCTTGTTCGGTTACATTTGCCGGTCTTTCTGTTTCTGGACTTAGTGGGTTTTCTCTTGTGGTGTGTTTGTCTCCGTTTATTTGGTTTGTTTGTTTTTTGTTTGGACTAGACAGTTTTCTTTTATTATTCGTTTTGATGTTTGTGCTTGAAACTTGGTTTTACTTTTGGTCTGATGTTCTGTCTTGCTTTTCTTTGCTGTCTGTCGTTGTTTCCTTTTTTTCCATGTACTGCCGGCTGATTATGTTTGTGTTGCTGCTGGTTGGTGTGTTGGTGCGCGTTTTCTTTGATTGTGTGTTTTTCTTGTCCTTTACATCTGTTTTTTGTCTGCTTTGGGTGTTTTTGTTGTTAGACCGTTGTCATTTCACTGTCTTTTTGTAGCTCCTATTGACGACATATGTTTTGTTTTGGTGCTTTACAAGGTCAGTTCATTGAGTACTTTCTAACACCAAATACGCCCTTTGGAGACGAGGAACAGATGTAGAGTTGAAGAACCACACCCAGTCATGGAGAGCTCGCCCCATTACATGACCCAGCAGCAACACAAACATCATCAGCCTTTATTACTTTGAAAAAGAGGAAAGGACGGCAGAGGGGGAAGTAAAGTAAGACAGAGCGTCAGAGGCAATGTGGCCTCTGTTTTCCTGTTCCATCATTCAAAGGGATTTTATATGTAGGCTGTCTGGTCCAAACAACAAAGAGACAATCCTTGTAAACTGATCCAACCCGACCACAAGAGTCTGTTCACTAAGTCCATTATTCTCAGTATCTGCTAATGTTTTTGGAGAATCCAACTTTGCAAACATGTGATATTCATATCTGTTGTTGAGAATGACTGATCCGTTACCAAAGCAACGGGTGCTGCTGTGTGCCTGTGTGGGTGAAAACTGGCCAGTTAAAGCAGAAGAGTAAGAGAAGGAGAAGGCAGTGGAAGCCTGTTTGCAAAAGCAGAACTCAGCTGCCAGCATTTTTATATAAAGGGTTAACCAACAGAGAGCTCATTTCCAGCTTTTAACAACATCCATAAACACTACTCTGGGGCTGTTAAACTCTGGTTAACAAAGCATGTGGCACAATGCTCTTAAAATGGTAGTAAGCTGCACTAGGCATGAACACTTTATGTTCTTTATTTAAGCCCATATTCAGTTACAGGTTGCATGCACATGAAATAGAGCTGAGAAATGTAGGAAATAAACTGATTAGGAAGTAATTGTTTGATAATGAAATGACAACAGCAGGTTGCGGTCAGTTAATATTTTCCTCCCAGTGTCCCTTTAAGCACAGGTGGTTCTGTCATCTGTGTCTGGTTTGTGCATCTGAGGCAGTGATACAACATCCGGTCAAGTCTTTGGTGAGATTGCTCTTACTTATATTGCAATTTAAATTCATGGTGTGTCACCCTAGGAAAAGAAAATCCAAAACCTTACATTAAGTGTGAAAGAACACCACAAAGCACAGTACATTAATGGTTTAAAAAAATAAAAATCTGAAAGGTGTGGCATTCGATTGGATTAATCCATGATTTTCCTTTGTCCTTTTAGAAAACTTGACCTTCAATATCATATAATTAGTAAACAGAGCTCACCATATCTAATTTAATCATCTTCCAGTAGAAGGACACTTAACATACATTTAAAACACAAAGGTAAAAGTTTAGTATTACAGAAAATACTCATCAACATATCTTGGTGTCTACAGTTGCTATTTAGCCAATCAGGCTCAGCTTGAGCCGTTATATGAGGAAGAAGCAAAAGTATCAACATGTAATATACGGTAAAAAAATATTTTACATTTGGATGTAAGGCACATCCCAAATACTTTTTTGCTCTATTTGAAATCTTCTACAGTTGATTGACTCCAGGGGGCTGGATCTTTCAAACGCCTGTTTTCTTCTATATATTGTTCAGTCCTCTGTTTTCCAGGAAACCACCTCTATAATCAATACCTCTTCCAAATGTTTAAGCCTGCCCCTTAGTGATACTTGTGCAGGAATAAATCTGGACGGATTAACCCAAATCGGTCTGAATCAGGTCGGTCAGCAAAGCACAAACAAAAAGGATGCAAACTGAAGCGGAAGGTAGGGTGACAGCTGTCTCGTCGACAGACAGATGCAGGTCTGTAAACCACTTTATCTGCTGTCCTTAGGTCATGTTAAAGTTTTAAACAATGGGCCCCATGCTGATACTTAACTCACTGTAAATTCAATGCACACATGCAAGAGAAAAGGGAAAAAAGATAAATATTTGTGTCATGGAAACCAACATTTTAAGCTCCTGCGGTGACGCACATCACCTTAAACATGAAATCAAATACACAGAAAGAACCTGCCAGGATTCAATGAAGATCAGTTAAACTTTACTGTAACATATCTGATAATATTCAATTCTACATAGTAGCACATAGTAGTCAACTTTACATCTCCTCCGAAGATCCTCACCTGCATTACTGGAGTTGTCCAGCTGGCCCAGTAGCTTCACAACAACTGGGGACTCCGATTCTGGAGTCTCAAAGGTCCCTTCAGAGTCCGAACTGGAGGTGAAAAGAATTGAACAGTTATCTAGTACAGTTTTTTATTACAATAAAAATTACATCAAAAACAGAAATGGGTCAAAAGAGATTAAAAAATAAAATAAAAAAATTATATATATATATATATATATATATATATAACTGGTCATTACCTGAAAGTCACATATTCTAAAGGGAAAATAAATAAAATCAGCAAATCTATATTCAATATTTCTTAAAGGTGAGGAGAAAAAAAAAATTCAGATTGTCTGGTTGCTTAGCTAAAAAAAAATTACCGGTAATTTAAATTTAACACATACACAAATTAGACTACGCCGCAAAGGAATTAAGTTAAGTCTTGAGAATGTGGCCTGCATTTGTGTCCCCCTGCATGAGTATATATATAAATAAACTAAATAAACCACAGCTTTTGTTTTTATTCTAACACATTGTGCTTTTATCTAAACCAACATCATTGTTGCTCTAGCTTTATGTCTGTTGTCTGGATGGAAAGTGAGCCCCAGCCTCAGAATAAGTCCTTCAATTTGTCTTTATTTGTAGTAAAAGGTTTTCTTCCAGTACTTACAAGGATTAAACTTAAATTTCACATCAGTACAGACCAGTTACTTTTTTTCTGCTAAAGAAATTCTTCCCTGTAGCTTGATGCTGCCATCACGTTTTGGTCAAAGGGGTTGTGTTCAGAGTTAGATTGTCGGCTACCCATAGCTTTTTGCATATGGGTCAAATAGAAAAGACCCCAAAGCTACCCGTCTATTATTTACGTCCTATAATTTTAGGATGGTCATTTCTAGATAGGCTTCTATGTTTCCATTTACACATGACTGAACAGTTTATCAGTTAAAAGATATTGCCAATCGTAATTGTTTCTCTGGATTTATTTAGGGGTATCGGCGCCTAAATGATAGAATAGAGATGCATGCCACACTTAGAACATTTGAAAAAACTGTTCAGAATTATGCAATATTGTTTGCCAGTCAATGCATAATACACCAGTAAAACACAAACTTTTGTAGTAATAATGTAAACAAAATATTTTCAAAAACTTAATGGAGACCAAAATACTTTTGCAGGGCACTGTATCTGTTTACCAGTAATTGTGATAAAGGTTCATCAGCTTTCCAATATCTCTTTTCTTGAAGAGACATAAGCAGTGTCTTGTTTAGGTCAAAGCAGCTCATAACAAACAAGGTCCTTTCATTTTAAAGGAAGTCAGAGGGAGGGAGAAGAGAGGAAGCAGGGCCCAGCTAGGCCACCTGCATCCTTTGCTCCTCAGTAACTGTGTCCCACAAACAAGCACTCACTCACAGTTTTTGGCCTGAGTCTGAGCTGCCTGGACACCCAGATCTGATTTATTCCCAAACAACGGAGGGACAAAAAGAAAGGGGGAGTCTTCTACATAGAGTGTGTGTGTGTGTGTGTGTGTGTGTGTGTGTGTGTGTGTGTGTGTGTGTGTGTGTGTGTGTGTGTGTGTGTGTGTGTGTGTGTGTATTCCAAGCCACTTGAAAGCACATCAAAACGTCCACACACTAATGAAAAACAGCACAAAGAAGAGTTCAGAGTGCCAGCACCCAGGCTTACACCAACTCTTAAAAAAAAAAAAAAAAAACAGTTTGCACAGAGACACACATTTCAATACAAATGACACCCTTCCCTCCCACACAGACTCAGATTCCTGTCCCACTGACAGCCTCAGAGGCTGCGGATCAGGACGGTTACTTAGAAACTGGAAAAACAAAAAGGGAATCAAACCATCTAAAGCTTTGGAAAGTGTTGCTTTTTAATCCTCCTGCTTTAGCTACCATTACTAAGCTGCCACAAGCACAACAGGCAGTAACGTCCCTGCATTTGAAATAACAGGATGGTGCATTAAAAGCATTTATTCATACAACAAAGCTATTTGGACTTAAAAAGAATTGATGACAGCATGAAACAGGTCCCTTTGACTCAGAATCAGATAATACACCACGGGAAGGGAGAGTTTGTGTGAGCATAGATCCATCACCTGTCAGTATGACTCAGGGGAATCTGTTCCCATCAATACAGCCTACAGCCACAAACTATATCTATGTGTTCCAGCACACATACAAACACACACAAAATCTCTTACTTGTCCTCTTTGTCATCCCTTCCTGTATGTTGTCCATCGTCTCCTGCACCTCCAGTCACTGCTGACCACGTCCACTTGGCCCACTGGACAGGAGACAACCAGGACATCTGTGCAGCACTTCCAACTCCACGTCAAAGGGAAGAATTGCAAACTTGTCTTTCCACTGGATGAGTCCACTCTGAGATCCTCTAAAAGTTTAAAACAAGCCTTAAACTGCAAATTAGAGGAAGCTCTTGGTCTACCAACGTGTTTTCTGTGTGACAGTCTGACTTCCTCTTCTTGCTCAGCAGCCCAGCCTTCCCATCCTGCTCCTCTGCACTGTTGACGCTTGTGCGAGAGAAATGTGTCTGTGCAGCAGCTGCTTCTGTGCGCGGCTCTGCTTTCCACAGCCCTGACTCACACTCTGCAGATTACAGTCACAGCATCAGTAGTCACTCCCCCACCCTCTCAGCTCACCACCTCCTTCCTCCCAGCAGCCTCTCCGTCTGGATGAGTGATCAGCTGGTTAACATGCATCGACTCACTCTGCTCATACAGCTTTAATAACTGAATCTCTCTGGTACAAAAGACAGGAAGCAGGAGAGGAAATTGAGAAATGTAGGTCTTGTTTAAAATTATAGTAATAGTCACTTTTTTCCAAGACCAATATGCACTTTTGTCTGTTGGGGAGCAGCTGGGAAGAAATGAGGATAAGAGGATAATTTAAGTTTTGATTACTATATCTGTCCTGTATATGGTCATTACAGGAAAGGGGTTGGCAATCAATTTATGCCAAAAGGCCAGATAAGCTGTTGTTGTCAAGGGCTGGGTCAACGGCTGTACATAAGGTTTTCAACTATATACACTGCACCAAAAAACAAAAAAGGAAACACATTAACAACACAATATATCTTTAATCAAATTAAATTTCTTTGGGAACAAACTGTCCACTTAAGAAGCAACACTTAAGCAGAAGCAAATGGCATGGACAACAGGTGGAAATGATTGGCAATTAGCAAGACACACTCAAAGAATGAATTCTGCAGGTGGGGACCAAAGAGGCTCTTAGCACCTATGCTTTTTGGCTGATGTTGTAGTCCCTTTTGAATATTGGTGGTGCTTTCAGACTTGTGGAAGCATGATACAAACTCCACAATCCACAGAAGTGGCTCAGGTAGTGCAGCACATCCGGAATGGCTCATCAATGCTGTGTCTGTCAGTGTTGTGCCCAGAGGCACAACCAGAAGAAAGGCCAGTAGCTACATTAGAAGATGTGGAGGAGGCAGTAGGAGGTCAACAGCTCAGCAGCGGGACCATTGCTTCCGCCTTTGTGCAAGGAGGAACAGGTGGAACACTGCCAGTGTCCTGCAAAATTGCCTGCAGGCTACAAATGTGCATGTGCCTCCACAAATGGTTAGAAACTGACTCCATGAGAATGGCATGAGGGCCCGACAACCACAGATGAGGGTTCTGTTTAGACCAACATTGTGCAGGATGCTTGGCAATCACCAGAGAATATCAGGATTGGGAAATTCACTACTGGTGCCCTGTGCTCTCACAGATGAAAACAGGTTCACACTGAGCCCATATGACAGAACTGAGAGAGTCTGGAGAGACCAAAGAGTGATCTGCTGCTTGCAACCTCCTTCAGCATAGCCAGTTTAATAGTGGGTTAGTAATAGTGTGGGGTGGCATTTCTTTGGAGGGCCATGTAGCGAGGTAGCGTGACTGCCATTCAATACAGAGATGAGATCCTCAGACCCCTTGTGAGACCATACGCTAATTCGGTTGGCCCCAAGTTCCTTCTACTGCAGGACAATGCTAGACTGTGGCAAGATGAAGGCATTAAGGGTATGGACTGGCCCCCTCATTTCTGAAGACCTGAATCCCATTGAGCACATCTGGGACATCATGTCTCAATACATCTACCAACATTATATTGCGCCACAGACTGTCCAGGAGTTGGTGGATGCTTTAGTCTAGGTCTGGGAAGAGATCCGTCAGGAGACCATCCGCCACCTCATCGGGAGCATGCCCAGGTGCTTTAGTGAGGTCATACAAGCACATGGAGACCACACACTATACTGAGCCTCATTTTGAGCTGTTTTTATGACATTACATCAAAGTTGGGTCAGCCTGTAGTTTGTTTTTCCATTTTAATTTTGTGTGCGACTCCAAATCCAGGCCTCCATTTGCATTCACCATTGCAGGACATTGTCTGCTGTTGCTACAGGCTCATTCAGGATAAGAGAATGCTGCAAGTCAATGTCTCAATGCAATCTGCTCGGTTTCTTTAGATAGAAAATCTTCCAGCCGACCTTTCAATATTTTTGGACATCTATAAAATAAGGATATGCTTTTCATTTTTTGCTTTTATGGACAGCTTTTTTTATTTCATAAACATGATTTTAACATAAAATTAAAAAGGCTGGTATATTTGACTGTACTGGCCCACCTTGCTTTTTTGCCTACATTCAGTCAGCATTATCCAAACCTTAAAAAATGTGTTTCATAGCAAAATGTTCTTCCAAACGTTGTGTTAGCTCTTTCAAAACATCAAACTGTCCCTGATCTGATATGGTTATCAAAAGGCAACCTGAGATGTTTATAGCTTGTTTACACAGCAACAGAGATAACCGACAGCTAAGCTGAAAGACATCTTTTCTCAGGATGAATGAGAAAAAGTGAAAGCAAATGTTTCCAGTCGGGACAGAAGCCGTTCCCACTGAACTCACATGAGCTACTAAAACCCTGGGGGGCATTTAAAGTAACTGAGACTCTATTGTTCACTGAAACTATCCAGGCCAGACAACAGACAAATCAATACAACAAACCCAGATAAAGCTGCATGGATGCAGAAGCAAATCCCACTGGAAGAAAAGAGCTTTAATTAAAAGCGCCCATCACAGCACACACAAACATGTCTTCAGGCCTGTTCAGAAGCTTATGTAACACTAAAAAACTCTTCTCTTCAAATAGAGGTGGGCTAGAGGAGATGTATTTTCTAGGGAACAAAAAGAAAGAAAAAACATGGACTCTGAGTACTCAAACAAGAAGTGGATCGAGTCTATGAAAAGATGGATGGATCAGAAAAATTTTATTTTTTTTTTTACATTCCCTGTTGCATAAGCCACTGTCATGAAATACAAGGAAGATGAATGCAACACTACTAGCTACAAACACAAGGGCAGTGAGACGAGAAAGGATGATCTCAGACACCCGCATGTTTTACACTAGTGAACACAAAGAAAGAGGCTCTGTTCAATCTCTTACAGACCAAAAAAACTGTACAGAAAAATACTTGTGGCACACAAAAGAATGCCTGGATGAACACAGACAGAGAGGGGAGAAAATTCTGGAATAAATGGAAAGAACAAACATGTCCAAATGTTTGTTAAACTTAAAATCTGGCCTGTGTGAAAACTTTAGTGTCTAACATTCCTCTCATTATCTTCTCTTTGTCGAGTTTCCTTCTGACAATCAAAACATGTAAGTTGACAAACTGGTGACAGCCTGGAGCTATAAAGACACGCAACTGTTGAAGCCGTAACTCTGTAAGGCACTGGATTGAAGTCAGCATATTAACATGCAACTCTGATTTTAAAATAAAAAATAAATGCACATTGGTTCAATGTAGCAGGAAATAAAAGTGTGGGAACGAGTCTGTTCTTATGTAATAGCTTTAAACCACAGATACAAAGCCAAAGATACAACCCACACATGCATTCATACATTCAGTTATAAATAGACTACAGCTGCTACCTTAGTCCAAATGCAGACAAAATATAGTGGTTCTTTAAATACATTTGACCCCATGAAGCTCATGTGTTTGTGATCTGTTAATCCAGAGGGAAAGCCGATGTCAAATCTTCAATTACATTCTAACTAAGGGGAGCAAGTGTTGGTCATGAGCTAAACATGTCTATAGCTAAGATGATACCTCAAATGTTTTTTGTACATGCCAAACCTCAAGACCATATGTGCCGTTCAAAGGTACAGCTGTAAATGCAGATTGTTATGCCCAATGTTCTGTCTGCACCAATAAAGATTCACTCAACCTAGCATTTATTAAATTAGATGAGTCCAAGCTTAATTAAAACACTAAGATAAGGATATATTTGGCATAAAGCAACTACCTAATTCTAAGAAATTACATTCAGCACAACTGTAAAGCATGAAATAGAAATGTAAAGTTTTAAGGAAAATTTGCTGCAGAGGAACCTGTTGGGCTCATTTCACAGACTCCAACATTAATTTTACCAGAAGATGTTTAATGAAAATGCTTTCTAGAACCTGCAACAAGATGACACAAAAAACCCAGTAAATACACCAAAGACTGAATAAGAATTGAGAAACAGAAGTCCTGAGATGAGACAAAACCATGATCTGGATCTCTTTGAAATGCTTTTGGGCGACTTGAAAAGTGCAAGCTGTAGACACAAAATAGTCCTAAAATAAACTCACAGCTGAAAGGGAGGAGCGAGGCGAACGTTTCTCATACTGATAGATGGTCATAATTAAATTCAAAAATACCCTTTTCAGTTTAAAAATAAATAAACACGATTGTTATAAGTAACATCTCTTAGGGCAGAAGTTTCCAAAGTGGGGTTTGGACACAGAAAATGATGGAGATGATTTTCACAAGCAGTGTGAAACCTGAGGTGTATGGAGGGCCAAAATACATCATGAAATATATATATGCCAATGCAGCTTGAAAAGAATGTACCACAAAATAATTTGATATTTCAGTATTAGATGATGAATTATATTCATAGTGATTAAACTATTACAGTAATATGCCATTAAGTAATTAAAAATACATTTAAAATGATGAATTAAATTTAATTGGAAAAATAAATGTATTTACCAATAAATATAATTGTTTTAAACTATATTTCTATATAAATACAGAGGGAAATAATTGCATGTATCTTTAAGCGCTCACCAATCTCTGGCACTGTTAAATTTGGGAGCGCCCTGTGTCCTAGCTTTTCCTCAGCTTAAAAACTACTTTGTTGGGGACTTTTGAAATGATCAAAACCAAATTAGTTATTCAATTGGTTTAAAACTTTTTTTTTTTATATACAAGACCAGCCATCAATATCTGTACTAAATATTTAGTACTCATAAAGTAGTAAATACTAAAACATTTTCAAGTCTGTTCAGCTTCAGGCTGATATTTAAAACCCTTTGCCTACTTTAAGTTTATTTTCTCTAAAAGCAAAAATAAGTAATGTCTTCCATTTATTAGACTTTTTATTAATAGCTAGGGTGACAGCTTTACATTACAAAACATTTGTCTGAAGTAAAGCTCAAATGTTTAGCTAATTTTTTCTTGTTACTTTAATGTCTTTTTTCAAATTCCTTGTAAACAATAAAAATAAAAAACGTGTAGCCATATAAATAAACTTGCAATGTCTTGGT